GGTGCTGAGCCTGCTCAGCTCTGTCACTGCAAACACAACTTGGGGGCACCTGTAGCCGTCGGTTCTGTTCTCTCGCTGGTGAGGAATAGGAACTGATGTAAATTGGTGAAGCTTTGCTGGAACCTGTGAGAAAACAGTTTAAGGCACAAACTTCAATCCTTATTCTTTCATCTCTAAGTCTATTAGCTTCTGTTTTGTCTATTATGTAGCACCCAAACAACTAACTCGGTATGTTCAGTATCTACAAATGAGATAATGTAATGACAGGCACATGCTGTCCCTCAGCAGCACTCAAAGTGAAGCCAAGAGGCTTTTTTGTGTGGCTGCTTTTGGTTGTACAGACTCATAACCTCCTTCTCTGTCATCACTCTCATCTACTGGTTTGTGACTTGTGTCACAGAGGAAGACGGAAAAGGAGACCAGAGGAAAGGTGAAATCCTGCTACAGTTTAGTGATATAATACTCTCACAGACATGTTATAACTTACAACAGCATCATAATATAATGTGCGTAACAAAACCACTTTCTGTATGAGTATTTTAACTAAAAGTAAACAGCTCCCAATACACAAAGAGATCTGCTGTAGCTCTGTCCCTGGTGGTTTCACACCCTGTGTCCCTGTCCGTGCGGGGCCGTGTGAGCTCCCCACGAGGTCAGGAGCAGGAAGCTGCAGCTGGAACTCCCCAGCTGGTCCCTTACCAGTGTAGATGTCTTTGTGTGCGATGACATCGCCCTGGCTGCTGTAATACTGCATAGAAGGGTGAGTCCTGTCGTAGTCGGAGCGCGGCTCCCTGATCCCCAGCAGGGCTGGGGACGAGGACGTGCTGCCAACTGATGGGAAAAGAGGTCAGCAGGACAGGCAAGAGCCTTTCCCACACCCAACCTCCCTCACCCCTTCCTGCCCTGGGGGTGGGTAAGGGATCCAGCCAGAGCTGCTCCTGGAGAACCACCACAGTGAGACTGCCAGGCTGAGTCCCTGCCCCATGGTGCTCAGGGCTGGTACAGGACCTTATCCACACCTGGGACATCACCTGTTTGCAGGTGGAGCACAACAGCCCTGCTAATGGTGATGGTTTGTCTCAGTACCTTCAGTGCCCCCATCAGCTGCCCAGCCTGCCTGGCCTCACCAACCCCTGAGCACCAGGTCCTGCTGCCTGTGCCGGGTGAGCAAGGGAGTCCTGGGCATGGAGTGCTCTGGGGCCTGGGAGGCACAGGGGATCCTGACACGGGATCTTCTCGGGGTCCTCAGTGAGCAGCCAAATCTTGACTGCACTTGTAAGTTTGTTCTGCTAAGTCCTCCCTGGTGCACAGACCCCTCGGGTTTTGGTGGCTTAGAAAGGCTCCAGCAGCATGGGAGAAAAAGACTTAAAAACAACTGGAAATTTTGGTTCAAAATATTAATCAATGATATCTTCTTCCATTGCTGTGCCCATTATGTCATAGCCCACCCTTCTGTGTTACTATGGAGAGTTTAATTGCTGGCATTATTCAGCATACTCATGGCTAAGGAAGTTAAATTTGGAGTGTCACTAAAATTCTGACATGAGTCAGCACAATAATGTGTGTTAATAGCTGAGTGACTGAAACACAAACAGCTGTTCAGGCCAAGAGGAGCTGCTCCAGCAGAGATGTGCTGTGCCCAGCACACCTGTGGGGACCTGCTCCCACCTCACTCCCTTCAGCCTGGCCAGGCTCTGCAACAGGAGAGCAGACACTTCCCATGAGGAGCTGGTACTAAGCCTTGTTTGAAGTACAACAGCCTCTGAGTATTACATCAGAGCTGCTCATCTGCTTCCTGCTGTCGTTCAAAGAGCTGCAGTAGCACAGTTGTTCTGGTGGTGTGTCCTGGGAGAAAGTGCTGAGATAGGAATGGGACAGCTGGTGCTGGAATACGCTTTGACACTCGGGTAGAATCCAGTCAGTTCCCTGAGCCTAAGCTGTAGCTGCTTCCTTGGTGGTTGAGAGGAACTCTGGCATGAAAGATGCTATAGCTTTGTGTCCCACAGGAAACTAAATCCTGGTGGGGCCTTTGTTCTTCCAGTCACCCATGTCAGGCAGGAGTGTGTGAGGGTTGTGACTGTTACGTGAAGAAATGATTCAACACGAGTACTGTAGGAACTGGCCCCTAGTTTTAGCAGTCATGGTAGGTGGTATTAACAGGTATCTGCCCCAGTCTTTAGAAGAGTGAATTGGATAAAATAAAACAAGAAATGCAGACAAAGGCTGCAGGGTTCAGGTAGGTTTTGTGTCAGCCCTGTGCAGATCTAAGTCCTAGCACTGAAGACATTAAGGGAACAAAGGTGAGAAAAACAAGGAGGCAGAAGGGTCAGATTTCTGTGTCTGTAAGTGAGAGGCTCTGTGAGTTAACAGCATGGGAGAGCAGGTCCCTCCACCCTCCCTGGCTGACCTGACTGCATGACAGGTGACATCTGCTGATTGGCCGTGGGCAGGGAGGGATGGGACTTGAACCTCTCTCGCTCCAGTGTCGACACTGGTGTAATAAAGTGACTCTGATTCCATCCATCCTGTGCAGTGGCAGAAAGAAAACCGTGTTAAAACAGCTCGTGAGTTACAGATAAAGGAGGAGGGTTCATGGCTGCTTTCCAGTGTAGGCTGATGGTGCAACTTACCTTCTTGTAAATGCTCCGGAGGTCTCTGTACTGCCACAGCGTGTTCAGCACCTGAGCCGCGGCCTTGACCACCTTCAGGGACGACCTGAGGGAGTGAGGAGCACTGCAGGGTTAGAGAGCCCCTGAATCCCACAGCCACTGCACAGAGCTCCTGAGCTGCACAGCAGCTGTCCCTGCTGCTGAGGGCCCAGCGCGGGGTGAGCCGCGGCCTCACCGTCCCTCCCCTCTCCCAGTGCTCTCCTCAGGCCACCCGTGTGAGGGGTACCAGGTTCAACAGCTGCTGCCACTGCTGCAAGAACTGCAAACCACTCAGAGAAACATTCTGTTTACTGCATTTCATAAAATGGGGACTTCAGGCTCTAAATCACTGTGCAAAACCCCTAACTGCAGGAAAAGAACAAAACCTAAAAGAGAGCTGAGAGCTGCTATTAAAACCCTCCAGACATCCTCAGAGCGAGTACTTGTTTCAGTTCTGTGCTGCACTACTGAAAACCTTGCCTGGTTGGGAAAACACTTCTCCACTCTCAAGAGCAAGACAAGGAAAGCTGCTCCAGCTATTACTGAAAATAAAACCATGGCATCTTTCCACGGAGGAATGGAGTAAGCTGGGAGTGGTGCTGCAGTAGGGACAGGGCATTAAGTGCCACAGCATGGACATCTGTGTGAAACACAGGCCTCTTTCTGTCACTGTGAAGATGCACCCGAGTACAGGTTTTGAAAGAAAACACTGGGAAAAATGCCGTTGATAGAGTTAATCAATGAGCAAACAGTGTGTTCACAAGATGTTAGATTTGTTTAGGGTACTCTGTTGCCTCAAAAATGTAAGTGCAGTTGCAGTTTCACACATTGTCTCCCCAGGGCAATGAGGTTGTAGGAATGGATCACTGCAGCTGGAGTGCAGCTGGAACAAGGCTGTCTGTGCTGCAAAGGAGCAGAGCAGCACTGACCACAGCCCATGGGGTCCCTGGGCCACCTCCTGCCGCCCCATCACACACTGTTCCTTGGTCTCAAAGGTTTTATTACCATCAGACAAACACAATGCCAGTGCAGACCTCGGCCAACGGCCCCTCTGGAGCCCAAGGGCAGGCACATTGCCCAGGGCCAGCTCCCCCCAGACAGCACCTGCTTGGCAATCTGCTCCAGGAAATCTCACTGGGCAGGGACCCTGCCTGGCAGGCCACGCTCTCCTCGTCTGACCAAAGGGGCAGTGCTGGTACAGCTAACAGCCAGGGATACATCCTGGCAATGGTGCCCACACGGTCTGACTTGGGACAGCCCCAAGTACTGTCCCCAAAAACTGAGAGGGACAGTTTAACTCGTTCAGCCCGCACAGGCCCCGTGACCACAGTCACTGTGGGCAGCTGTGGGAGCCTTTACCAGCTCTGCAGAGGACACACACTGCAGAGGACAGTACCAACTCCTCCCGGTGTCACTCCAGCTCTCAGCTCCTCACAGCCAGACTGCAACAGCAGATCCCTTTTTCACTCAAAAAGCCATTTCCCACACCCTGAGCGTTCTGAACGGAAACAAACGGTCCACGCGTGCCCCCGGGTGCCTACTCGCCTGTCCCCTCTGCCCTTGGTGATGTTGACCAGCTTCTCGATGCCGCCGGTGTCGGCGAGCGCCTTGGCGTTCTCCATGTTCTTGCTGGTGACCTCGTGCAGGGCGCAGCAGATGGCAGCCACGGTCTCGTCGGACAGCGCGCCGGGGCCGCCGCCCGGCAGCCGGTTCACCAGGTCCCGCATCGCGTACTTGCCTGCGGACACAGGCCAGGGATCAATTGGGAGTGTTCTCCCCTCCCCTTTTAGCTTCAAAGCGTGAGAAGCTGAGTTTGCGCTAAAGCTGGAGCGAACGCGTTTGGGGAAGGCGTTAGGGCTGTCGTTAGGACGGAAGGAGCGGCGCTGGGTTTTCCCGCCCGAGCTCGGACACCCTGGCGCCGTACGTACCGATGAGCTCCTTGTTCCGCACGTCCAGCGCCATGTTCCGCAGGGCAGTGGCCACGGAGGACACCACTCGGTCGTTGTCCATCCTCAGCAGCTCCACGAGGATCGGCAGTCCCTTCTCCTTCCTCACGGCCGCGCGGATGTACGCTGCGAACTGCCACGGAGCCCGGTCACACACAAACCCCACCAACATTGGGCTGGGCTGGAATCCTCTACCAATTCATTGGCCATTCCCAACAAAAGGTGACTATTCTCAACCGATTCACTGGCCATTCCCAACAAAAAGCAACATCCTATATGTGTGCTTTTTCTGTCATTAGAAAGGGTTGGCTCTGCCACTTGTCACCCATTCCTTGCACAAAGAGAAAATACCTGTGCAGGTGACAGCGATTGAAAAGGGAACAGACAGAGTGGTTTGGTCTGGGTTGTCAGGGGTTTTGTTTTTGAGACCAATCTTATAGTGGTCAAAGTGAAAAAGGCTCAGCTGCCTTGCTGCAAGCAGAGGAAGGAATTCGTGTTCGCTGGGTTTTAATCTCTCCACCACAAAGACATGACAGCAATAAAATGTTCTCCTGTGCTGCTTTTGCAGCATATTGTATGTGATGGCCAGAATGTATGGAAATAAAGCAAATTTATCTGTGCTGCTCTTCCTTCAATGCACAGCCAGAAGATGCTGGAAGATTATTTGACCCAACATGCACGGGAAGAAAGCTCGTTCTGTTTGTTTAAAATAAACTGTGCCAATTCCCAGACCAGCTTCCATATGGCTCTTCCTGCCCCCTCTTTGCCATGGCTTTTCACTGCGCGAACGTGACTGCAGCACGTGAGCACTGATGCTCAGAGGTGAGGGAAACACCTCTGAAAAGACTACAGGAACCCCCCAAAGACATTTCCAGATCTTACTAGAACCCTCTGGAGTAGGAGAGGAGGAGCAGCAGCAGGAGCTCCCTACCTTCCAGTTGCCTGCAGAGAGGTTCTGCAAAGAGCCCGCGGAGCCCTCCAGAGTGGCTGGGTTGGAGCTCTCTGCCAGGAGTGTCAGGTACGGCTTCACCACCGACGGGTGCCAGAGCATCTCCACCCCTTTAGGAGACTTGGAGAATCCTGGGATAGGGCCAACGCCATCCCACTGGGAAAGGAAACAAATTTGTAGCCAGATGAAACCTCTATATTTTCATCCAACATATGATCCTTTCCGCCACGCTATGTCCTCCCCCATCCCGAGCCAAACCCATCTGAGGTACAAAGAAAACACAGACCTGATCCTCCTGGGAGGTTTTTTTTTTCTTCTTCTTTTTCTTCCCCCAGCAACTTG